GATTATATTCACAGTCTCCCTGGTTTGGAAGACCAAGAGACTGTGATGATAATAGCTTGGAGAAAGCATCTTTAAAGAGTTACTCTTTATGTAAGACACAGCACACAGTTGTTCATTTCTTCACATACGTACACTGTGACATGAACTTCATTGTCATGTGCACACCTGTTTTGCAGGTGTCTTACCCATGCCTTATTTCTAGTACCAAAACAGCTCTGGGACTTAGTTCAACACATATCACAGTGTAACAGCCAATCATGTCCCTCCTGGGGTGGAAAAAGCAAACTGCTACACAAACTCTTCTCTCGTTTGTTTGCTCTGTGCATATTGCAAAAATCCTACCAATTACGTCTCCTAGGACAGATACTTTTATTTGACTTCATTGATGTGCTGCTAAAAGCCCAGTGTTGGGAACAACATGGCAGGGACAATATTCATGAGATTCAGACATACCCACTGTCTCCTGGAATTTCATATTGTCCCAGGTCTGGAGAGGAATAGGGTGTGACAAGTAGAAAGATCAGATCTCAAAGAAATGGTAAGTGACAGAAGCCCAAGAAGGAACATTTGGGAAAATGATTCATTCATAAGTGTATAAATGCTCTAGGATTTATCCCTTAGTTTATATAACTATTTATACGCCATCTGTTAAGTGGTTTGTAATTGGCCAATAAAAATCAGCAGAACGAATATGTTAACTGCCTACATGAGTCTGGAATATGGGCAGCTTTGGAGCCCAAGTGAGAAGTGGATGTAGGTTTCTGCAGGATGTTCCATTTATTGTGCCACCAGCCTTTCTAATCTGCAGAGCAAAACACAGTTTCAATCAAGTTAATGAAGAAAGGGCATTATTAAAAGCTTGCTTACTTATTTTTGGGTGTTGGTTTTTTTTTTGTTACTGAACTTTGTTCCTGCTTCTCTTTTAATCTGTTACTTTGATCTGTGTTTTGGTGGAGGATCCACCATACGTGCTCTTCTGACTGTAGGAACCTCTTAGGCACTCCAGCTAGCACAGAGCAGTCATCTGAATGGGATGTTTAAGACTGAGAGCAGAGTGCCGTGGGGCACAGAACGAAGCTTTTCCCTGAGGTTGATGAAAGGCCCACCCTTGGCCTCTGCTGGAACGCTGCAATTCTTCTGGAAAGAAGAGCAGAGAAGATCAAAGGCAGAATAGCACCAAAGAACAAAACTTAAGAAAGATTCCTTACCCTGCCTAATTATCACATCACACTTTGAGTCAATATGCAAGGCTGCTGGTGCCAGGTGTGAAAAAGGCAATTAATAACTTTAAACTAAGCCCAGCATCAGTGTCAGGATGAGAAGCTGTGAAGAGTTATGTACAGGTAATAGACCCACTGTTTTCATCCCTTGATGAGCTAGTGGTGAAGCATGTATGGTGGAAAATGCCTTTGAGGGGCTTTGAGAAACATGATAAAGTCTAGATAAATTTTAGAAGGTCTCTGTTGTTCCTGAAAAGGTAGGGATTGCATTTTAAGAGGACAGGGTAAGTACTGCTCATGTCATCCAGGCTGGAGTGCTACACTGCAAGTACTTCAAGAGGAGCAGAAAGGGGTTTGCTTTCTGCTATCCTCAGGTGAACTTTCCAAAGAGAATGTGTTACTTTACCAACACTCCAGAAAGGATTTCAGTTGTATGCAATAGTCTGATGCTGGTATTCAACTGGGTTAAAAATTTCATCTCTGAGCCTGTGCTAGGGTTGTGTCCACCAAAAGAGGGCACTTTCTTGGCACTAGACGACTGACTCGGAGAGGAAGGCTATGGCTGAGGAAAGGCTAGGAATCAGGTGTCTTCATTTTGGTGCCTGTCCTTGAAAGAAGATGTCTATTCCATCTTTTTACCATGTGAGTAACCTTGTAATACCTCCTTGCACCACACACCAAGCATTTACCATCAATGGCAGGCTTGGTAGACAGAAAGGTGTTCCTCAGTACCTGATGTGGGATTTGTGGAAAGCAGAATTTCATGACCTGTTTTACTACCCATTAAGGACAAAAAAATGCCCAGGTATGTTTTATATATACATTGAGAAGAAATATAGGGTATTTCTGAAGTTGTTTCTAAGCCACCTTGTTTCAATTTGAGATTTTGCTATAAAATAAACCTTCTTAAAAGCTGCATGTCATTATGTTCTGACTTAAAATTAAAGGAACATTGTAAGTCCTTTTATTTTGCTAATATTCCAAAAATAAACATTTTTACTTATAAAGCTTTTAGGAAAATTCATTCTTGTTTACAGTCCCAGCATATGCACCATGCTGGTTCCAATTCTGTCAGCCAAGCAGCTGTCCTGCCATTAACACTCTTTAGCAGCTGTGTTCTTTCTGCTACCTGGGGACCTGTTAAAAAGTGTTTACAGAGTTTCGTGTGGACAGGTGTCCCTGCAAAAGCCGCACCGCCTGCAAAGGAATGCAATAAGAACAACCTCTCTTCCAGTGCCCTCAGATATTATAGATATTTTATTTCAGTAATAAAAGAGAAAAGCAAATTATTAAGGTGCTCCACCCACCTACCACTTAGATGATTAAAACAGGAAGTTGTAGAAGTTGTACGCTTGCAGAAGTGTCCCCTGGCACATCTGCGTCACTCTGTTTCTAGAGCACTTTCAAAAATAAACTGGAAAGGTTCTAATGGATGAACTAATGCAGCAATGATATCGTACTTCCCCGGCAGCTGCCTTTTTGTGTAGGCTAATGCAACTGAAGTGTCTTCTTTCGCACTTAGGTATTTTGAAGACAGACACTGCAGAACAGTCAGTCTCAACTGTGGAGTCATAAACAATCCTTTTGTTGGGCAGAGAAGTACATGTAATTCTTTGTCCTATCTAAACACGAAAATATTTTGAGTTACGTTAAAATAAATTCACTTGCAGGACTGGACATGACTACAGTCTTGAGAAAAATAACTCAGGTTATACCTCAGCAGTAACTGTGACCTAAATGTGAACATTCATAAATGTATTAGTCAGGCCAGCTCACCAAATTTTCAAATGTGTGGGATTTCCAGAAGAAGCAAAAAAAGAAGCTACCTGCCAACATTTCCATTCATCAGTGATCAAAGTTAAGTACCTCAACAAAAGTCATCACAATTACAGGCACTGCAGAAATGAGCTTGTTTGCTCACAGTCAGTGTGGCTTGCTAGTGTGCTATTTGCAAGTTCTCCTTTGATATTGGGAAAGGGAGTTGTGGGGGATTTTTTTGTTACTTAATATTACTGTAAATCTTCAAGAGCCCACTTACTTCTGGAAGGGTTCTTTGAGTCTGAAGGACATGACTGAATCTGTGTTGTAACACCTCTGTTAATGCTTAAGTGTATTATGCATTATGACTTGTATGCTTTGTGGTTGGTGGGTGTAATTGTGAGTGGTCTGGCAGAGGCTGCCAGATGCGGGCAAACTGGTAGAAAGCCTTCCAGTCAAGATTGACTACTTGTACTGAGCTAATAATAATATTTTCCAATATCTGAGATAAGAAACACTCTCTGAGGAAAGGTTTTGACCCTACCTGGTCCAAGTGCCTTGTGGAAGTCCTTAGGCTAGGCAGGGATCTCTCATGAATAAGAGGGTGATCCATTGTACTTGACAAACAGGAGGACAGATGTGCAGATGCTGCCAGAGCCTTTTGGTAGAGGTGAGTGTAGGGCATATTGGTGACATGTCTGCACAAAGCATTGACCTGGAGGTAAATGGGTGAGCTCCAAGCCTGCTGATCTAGCCCTCTCTGACCCCAGATGCAGTATGGTTGCACTAGCAGGGCTTGCTCCCAGACTCATCAGCTCTCCTTTGTAGAGCACTTGTGTGGGAAACAGAAACCTTTGATCCAGGCCTCTGTCTTGGACCTAAGAGAGGCAAGATCTAGACAAACAGAGATGACATTGCTGGAAAAAGTCCCTGGTTTCTGGTCGATTAGATAAGGGATCAGTAGAGACTTGGTGTTGTCTGGCTAGTCCCTCCCATATTTTCAACTTCTAGTATTTGAAAAAATTTGTAATTCACTATATATCTAATTGTCTAGCCCTCTCTGCTGGAAAAAGAAACCAATGGAGAAGGACAACTTCAGCAGTCACCCAGGAATGGGAACTCTCTTCTTATCTGCAGAAGACCATAGGACCACAGAAATCTTGGTTGAAAACCGCATCTGGATTTTTAGATCTCCACTCTAACTTCTTCACCAAAATCCTAAGATTTATGTTGAGGTTGTATAATTTATGTTAGGGCTGTATAATGTCTTAGCTTCTAGTTTTCTGCCTGACAATAGGACACCTCTGAGGAGCTTCTCTCGGCTTGTCAGGCCTGTCCTGTTTCCATCAGCTTTACAGTTTTTCTGGTTGGCTGCCTGTTTTTATGCATCTCCCTAGCATATTTGGAGTTGGCGCGTGGCAAAGCCAATCTACCTGTTTGCAAATGGTGGTTACAACAAATGGAACACAGAAATTCAGGGAGAAAGGCAAAAATCACCACTTCATTTGCTTACTGAGGTATCTTCATTGGGAAAAGGACACACGCTGGCATAGCATGAAGCCCCTTGGACTAGTTTCTTCTCCTTCAAATTTACTTTCAGGGTTAAAAATTTTCAGTTAAAGAAAAATAAACAAAAGTGCCCAGCATTGCTTCACAGGCATGACCAAAGGGGGTTAACCAGTAAAGGAAACAGGGCCGAGAGATTATCTCAAACTTCTTTCCTATTAAAACAATTCATTTCGTATATTGCCACAATGCAGCAACTTTATCTGAACTTCCTTTCAACCTCTATAAACATGTCCTTAAAATAAATGCCATGAATTAATATTTGAAAAATATAGTCTCTCTGTGACATCGGGTAACACTTCTTGAGTAGAAGAGGTAGAACTTGCTTCGAAATGAAGCATTGTATTATCAAATGAAAGAGAACTTAGCTGGAAAATATGCCTAGGGTGTAAACCAGCTGCAATCTTAATGTCATTTTTTCTGTCTTTTAGTGAGCTTTGTTGCCTAAAACTGTGGTTTGGAACTAACAGTTGCTCTGTGGAAAAGGCCCCATTGAAATAGTTTGAAAAAGTCTGTTCAATAAGACAGGTAAGAAAAGCTATATTTTTTTTTAATCCATGATATACTGACGTGAACTGTAAAATCTGTTCAGGACTATCCCTTTTTGATACTCAGTCTCATTCTTTGGACGTTGCAATATTTTTTCAGAGTGACAAAAAAAAGATGACTTGAGACACAAAGTGCCTGTTTAAGGCACCCACTCAGAGGAGTGACAAGAATTGGTGCTGTCATTCAGCAAGGACAGAATTGTTTTGTTAGCTCTGGGATTGTCTGCAGGACAACTGTGTGGGAGACTGTGAAAGAAGTTATAGAAGAGGAAGTTTCATACATGTATGACCCCCAAATGAACAAAGCAAAATAAAATTGTGTATCTAGCCATTTTATTGTATTAATAGTTAAAGCTCTTAAATTTGGATTCTCATTTGGTTCCTGCTATTATAAAGTGGTCATGGGTATACCTGCTGCATTAGCTGGAAAAAATATCCTGGGACAATGGTAGGTACAAAAGAAGACTTAAGATTCGGGATCAAGGGAAGGACTGTCAGGCTTCAGGCCTTTTCCATGGCTTTTGCCCTCCATCAAATGTCTTACTGCCCCCACCTGGCTTCCCTCCCTTTCAAAACTGTTTCAGCACACTCCAGGCAGATTTGGCAGGGGTTTTATAGATTTTAAAATTGTTGCCTTGAGGTCTGTAGCCCAGTTTCTTGTACCATAAATGTGTATCAACAAATCGATGTGGGTGAGAAAGCACTTCAGCGTGTTTCAGGTTGGGAACGAGGGGCAGGCCTCCTCCTCTTCCCCCAGCCACCCAGGTGTCTGCAGGAGGGCTGTGCTTCTGAGGGCTTTTTGGTGCCCTCCCTTGACGTGCTTTAGACAGCAAGTTGTCAGGAAGTGGAGTAAGAGCCACTGCTCTTAAAAGACGCTCACAAGGAGGTCTCACCAAAGAGCCAAAGGCTCAGAACAGCAAGGAACAACCTTCAGCACGTGACAGTCATCCATGTACAGGGATGTGAGGGTGCACATAGAAGGATCAGCAAGATTGGCCAAACCTTCTGCACGATCTGCCTAAATCCCATTGAGCTCAGTAGGAGATGGTTAAATGTCTGCTTAGGATTTTGGGGAAAGCTGTGAAAGACACACAAGAGAATAGCGTCCTAAGGAGTGGGAATTCAGTGGTGAATTCTGAATTCCTGCGTTTTTGTAGTTAAAAAAAGAAATCACTGGGAAACACTGAGGTAAAAGTTGTTGTGTTTTGGTTTTGGTCTTTTGGTTGTTTTGTTTTTTTATTTTGTTGCTTGGTTTTGTTCTTTCAATTGTACTAATTTTGAACACATCCAGGTTTAGGAAGGGTAACTTCTGCCCCAGGAAAGCCAGGTGTTCAGAGGAATAATTTGACCTCCAGAGTCAGTTAGGAAAGCTCAGACGGCTCCTCTGGATTGTCATCCCTCACTCAAAGGACAGTTTAGTTGGTGACAGCAGTCTGGAGCAACTACAAGCACTGAATTTTTCTGTGCAGTGAAATTTGCATTTGGACCTGAACAAACATGAAGGACGGAAATTAAGAAACAAGTTGAAGTAACTCATGGTTTTTGCCTTTGTTATTGCACAGGGCTTGAGCATGCAGTAACAGTTGGTAGAGAGGAGGAAGAGGCTACTGGCATGATGGAAGAAAGTCCTACAAATATTAGGAAAACTTACAGGACAAAGGACTTGAATTGAAACGTGAAAATTCAAATCTAGAATACTTGAATATAAGTTGTATAGAACAAGGTAGGGGTGACGTCATCTGCAATGGCCACCTAAATGTCTTCTATACAATATTTAGGTGTTAAAAGTGCTGTCAAGATATTTGTCCCAAATTCTCTGTAGAAGGAAACATTGTGATTGTGCAACACCACAGCCTTGCCTTGCAAAAGCATTTACAGTGTTGTTAGTGTGTTATTACACAGCTGCCTTTTCTGCCTCCCCATCATAACCGATCTCCTAACCTGCCAGGCATTCCCCCTGGAAAATGATCATACCTTCATGCTGGTGCTTACCTGGAGAAGCTCATTCTGATTTTCTGCTTATCTCCCAGAGTAGTGTGATCAGACATGCCATTTGAAAGGTGTATTGGGGTTTCTAAGCCTCATGAAACAAGGCAGAGGTTAACCCAGGCAACCATCAGGCTGCAGTTGAAAATTGGCCTGCCTTCAGAGGATAAAAGAGCAGTGGGAGGGTCTCTTTAGGCAAACACAGCTATCTAGTGAATGGTTAAAAAAAACCTTGATCTTCAGGCTGCAGAAAGAAGGAGCTTTCTGAACTTGGAGAAGGTTGGTAAACAGGAGGTTGACAGCCAAACGTTGGTGCCCCCCCACATAGAGGGAATGGGGACTGTGTTGTGTGGATGTGTTCCAGTTGGAGGAGAGTTTTGCTATGAGGAGATGCTCTCGGGTCAGGTGAAGACAGAGGGATTCTTACAAACCAGATAGGTAAGTCAGCTTCTCAGAGCTGGATTTCAAATGAAACCTGGGCCGGTTCATTATTGTGGGGTGGAACCAGGAATTTCCATGGCTTTGATCAAAATCCTACAAAAGTAATGGTTGTGGAGACGGCTTGCTTTGAAGTTTTGAATTTGAATTTTGAGAGAATTCAGAATGCAAGCTAGAATAGGCTGAAATTTTTTTCAATAAAAGCATTTTGTGAAAAAAATAAATAAAAAACCAAACTATGAACTCTCATGGAAACAAAGGTGTTTCTAAAATATTCTTTCAAAGTTGATGGAAAATGTACATCATGTTTGAAATCATCTTGGTTAAAAGATGGTAACATTCGTAAAATGAAACAGTTATAATATTCTCACTAAAGAGTGAATTGATTTTTATGCAGTATGTTTTCCCTCTTTTTTTAACTTCAGCAGAAAGAATACAATACAGACTCTCATGTCCCTGATAATACAGTGGTGTAAGGAGCAACGTGAATAATTTTCTCCCTATTTTCCAACTTGGGAAAAAAATGAAAAAGATAAATAACCTCTCAATTATTCCCTGAACCTTCCTTTGGGAAAACCTTTCAACCTTCCAAACATCTTTTCTTCTTTAAAAATTCTTATAAGCAAAAATTCTAACTTGATATTCATCTCTAGTACAAATGAAACATAAAATCACTTTGTACAAATGCTGGTGATCAGAGACCGCTGACCTTAGCCCTGCTCTGTTCCTTCTAGGGATTACTGTAACTGTGGTTATTGAGGAGGTAGGAGAAATATTTTAATGGAACTCCAGATGTGGTTTGTGTCTCTGTGTGTGTACATGCAAACATAAATACATACATATATGTATACACGCACACATATATATATGTGCTATATACTAGATATGTATGTGTGTGTATATACACACACATACATAAAGTACATGGGTTTGTGTTTTTGAAATTACTGGGAACTCTTACATCAAGACACTGACATTTGATTGCATCCTGTGAGAAGAATAGTTTATACATAGCTGAAGAACAGAGTCACTATTTAAGCTGTAAAATATTCTGGTTTGCACCACTTTCATCTTGATAGACATTAATGTAACTTTCTTTTGCCAAGCTGAAGATAAACTGTTTGTCTTGCAGTCTCATTCCAAAATAGAGAAATTACTTAAATGCCTCACCCGTAAAAGGAACAGTATGTGATGAAACAGAATATGCCTGAACTTATATTTAATTTTGCTGACAAGTGTCTTTTGAGTGACTGGCTGTTCTTCAGCTTCTTTTCCAGTCCTTTATTTTTATGAGGTTTTTTTAAAAATACTGATCTTTCCACTAAGTGGTGACACAATGTCATCTCAAGATTAGAATTGGTCAGAACATGTTTGATGAAATATATTTTAACTAAAATATGCTGCCTCTTGGACGCCAAAACATTTTGCTTAGGTGCTGGTGTTGATGAATGAGGAGTTTTCTGTATCCCAGGTTGAGGTCTCTGGTTATGTATGATCTGAAAGCCTGACTGAAAACTTGATCTCTTTAACTCAGAAATAGATGTTTCAACACAATTCCACACCCTTCCATTTGAAAAGTTTTTGTTTTCATTTCAAGACCATATGAAAAAATTGGAAAACCTGCACAGTTTTGGAATGGACTTATTCCACTGTCACCCAGCCAGCTCTGCTCGACACCTTCTCTCCCACAAATGACTGAGCCAGATTTCCAGAAAAGGTTGTAGGTCTACAGCTGTAGTTTTTTTCCTCAGAAGTCACCTGTCATCTCACTGTAGCTTGAGCTTCCACAGACTTTTATTTTTTCCACTGAGTCAGGCTACAGGCTGTTAGAGCAGACCACAAGCACGCATGCAGAGCTGTGACTTGGCTGGTTGGCTCTGGGTTGCTGTTGCAGCCATCCTTGTTGCTGTCAGCAGTGTGGCCACTGTGGGCATATTTTTTTAAAAACAAACAAACAAACAAGCAAACAGTTTATAAATCTTTGACTTCAAATTCCTGCACAAGGGTAACTTAATTGAAACCCACACCTGGTTGAACAAGGTTGGGCTGTGCCAAAGAAAGCCTCTGTGCCTGTTTCGTTTGAAACCTATGAAGGGAAGATAGTTCGTTAAGTCTGTGGTTTACAGAAATGTCTCTGATGTGGAGTTAAACTTTTTATGTTTCAAACTCTTGTTTTGTTAAATGAGTGCAATGTTAGTTGTACAGCCTGAATTTTAATGGCCTGTTTCTTGGTTTAAAAGATGGAGCTACAGTCTTTGAGTCCGTGGTTGGAGATTAGGCAGGTAAGTTAAAAGCCTGACCAACTTCCCTAATTAGATTTTGGTTCTTGCAGTATATGCTGAACTTTACAGGTCATGTTTCCACACACTGAACTCTCCGGCCATTCCACAGCATAACTTGACTTTAGAGTAAAACCTGAAATGTCTTATCAGAAGTAATTTTTCTTTGGATTCCTTGGAAGTCCTGAATTTGACCTGCAGAAAAATACTTCTTTTTTTCTTTTTTTCTCCCAAATTAAGGCATCCTTTGAAATTGTGAATAGTTTTGAAAAGGGTC